GGAGTACATTGGTAGACAAGACTGGAGGTTCCCAAGGAAAACTTCACAAAAATGCATTATTCTACTAGAGAGATTGCTTTCAGTCCAGTTGGTTATAAAGTCAGGAGGGGTTGGGAACTTTTGTTTGTTTTCTTGTTTGTTTTTACAAGCTAATAACTTTTGCAGCTCATGTTTACTGGACCCGTGCCCCTCCTGGTTGGTACTGGCCTCCCGGGAGGTTACACGAGGCTGGCTCCAGGGTGTTATCAACGCTTCGTTGAGTGAGGGTCACTTCCCCGCCGCCTTGAAAGAAGCGATGGTGAGGCCTCTCCTCAAGAAGCCGTCCCTGGATCCGGCAATATTGGCCAACTATCGTCCTGTCTCCAACCTTCGCTTCCTGGCGAAGGTTGTTGAGAGTGTGGTCGCGTGACAGTTTCCACAATTCTTGGAGGAAACATCCTATCTAGATCCGTTCCAGTCGGGTTTCAGGCCTGGACACAGCACAGAAACGGCATTGGTCGCGTTGGTTGATGATCTCTGGAGGGCTCGGGACAGGGGTTGTTCCTCTGTTCTGGTCCTGTTAGACCTCTCAGCGGCTTTTGATACCATCAACCATGGTATCATGCTGCACCGGTTGGAAGAGTTGGGGATGGGGGGCACCGTATTACGGTGGTTCTCCTCCTTTCTCTCCGACCGGTCGCAGTTCGTGTTGGCAGGGGGGCAGAGGTCGACCTCAAGGCCTCTTATATGTGGAGTGTCCTCTCGCCCCTCCTGTTCAACATTTATGTGAAGCCGCTGGGCGAGATCATCCGTGGCTTTGGGGTGAGATACCACCAGTACGCTGATGACACCCAGCTGTACATCTCCACCCCAGGCCACCCCAACGATGCCCTTGAAGTGATGTCCCAGTGCCTGGAGGCTGTGCGGATCTGGATGGGGAGGAACAGGCTCAGGCTCAACCCTTCCAAGACTGAGTGGCTGTGGCTCCCGGCATCCCGATATAGTCAGTTGACTCCATCACTGACTATTGGGTGTGAGTCGTTGGCCCCCACAGAGAGGGCTCGCAATCTGGGAGTCCTCCTGGATAGGCAGCTGTCCTTGGAGGAACATCTGACGGCTGTAACCAGGGGGACCTTTTGTCAGGTTCGCCTGATCCGCCAGTTGCGGCCCTTTCTTGATCGGGATTCCCTGTGCACAGTCACTCATGCCCTCGTCACCTCTCGCCTTGACAACTGCAACGCTCTCTACATGGGGCTCCCCTTGAGGAGCACCCAGAGGCTCCAACTGGTCCAGAATGCAGCAGCGCGGGTAGTGACGGGAGCAGCCTGGCGCTCCCATGTAACACCGCTCCTGCGCGAGCTGCACTGGCTCCCAGTGGTCTTCCGGGTGCGCTTCAAGGTGTTGGTTATCACCTTTAAAGCGCTCCATGGCATAGGGCCTAGCTATCTTCGAGACCGCCTGCTGCCACCGACGATCTCCCATCGACCCGTGCGCTCTCACAGAGAGGGCCTCCTCGGGGTGCCATCAGCCAAACAGTGCAGGCTGGTGACCCCCAGGGGGAGGGCCTTCTCTGTGGGGGCACCTACCCTCTGGAATCAATTGCCTCCAGAGATAAGGAGAATCCAAGACCTCAGTGCCTTCCACCGTGCCCTTAAAACCTTCCTTTTCCAGCAAGCCGGGCTGGCCTAATTTTTTAAGTGTTTTTAAGTGTTTTGTTTATTGTTTTTAATTAATGGGGCCAAATTTATATATGTATATTTTAACTGTATTTTAATATTTGTACTTGATGTTTTTACTTGGCTGTTCACCGCCCTGAGTCCTCAGGGAGAAGGGCGGTATACAAATTCAAAATAAAATAAAAAAATAAATAAAATTTAGAAAATGACCTTGTAGTCTACAGGAGCAAAGATGCATGAATTTTGATGCAATTTTGAAGTTCGACAGTCAATGGATTTCCCAGATTACATTTAATCTGAATAGAAGACTTTTTCTCTCTCAGTAATAGAAGCTGATTAGGAGTTGTGTGTGTGTGTGTGTGTGTGTGTCTACCTACCTTTTTGCTTTGAATTCAGAATAATCTTCCTTTAAGGTAAATGTGACCATTCACACTATATACTTGCATACATCTCTTTCTCTGAAAGTGATTCAGAGAAAACATGTTCATGTTTTCGAAAGGCTAAGACAAACATAACCTTTGGGGACATTTATTCTTAGACAAAAAGGCAGTATAATTGTAAAAGCAACTCTTATATTCTTAGGATTCAGAAAGGGATGCTTAAGTTCATTGTTCATTGGATAATAGTTCAGCACCAAATGATTAAAAAAAAAAGATAAAATTCTTCCTGAGCTGTTGCTGACATTAAACATAAAGGCTAAACTGATATGGTTGCCAATGAAATGCATGAAGTCATTTTAAAAGAGTTCACATGATTATGCTTTGTGCTTTATTGTTACTGCTGCTTTATTATATTCCACTCAGACAGCAAGAAAGGTGATGTCACAGGCTATACAATCAGGCTGCCTCGGCTGTTCAGAAAACAGACAATAGACTACCAGTTTCTCATACAAGCCTAATCTCAGCCTTCCAAATTAGTTTTGCCCAGTGATGACTACAGGTAGTCCTCAACTTGCAACAATTCACTTAGTGACCATTCAAAGATACAACAGCAGTGAACCAACCCGTGACCATTTTTCACACTTATGACCATTGTAGCATCCCCATGGGCATGTGAGTTACATTCGGATGCTTGACAACTGACTCACATTTATGACAGTTGCACTGCCTTGGGGGTCATGTGATCATCTTTTGCGACCTTCTGATCAGCAAAGTCAATGGGAAAGCCAGATTCACTTAACAGTTGAGTTACTAACTTAACAACTTGTAGTGATTCACTTAACAACGGTGGCAAGAAAAGTTGTAAAATGGGTGAAACACACTTAACAGATGTCTTACTTAGCAACAGAAATGTTGGGCTCAATTGTGGTTGTAAGTCGAGGACAACCTGTATTACAACAAACAGATTTTATAAAGCATATGAACCAGAATTATCCTGCTTGGAGAGTGGTTCTTTCTTCAGTTTATAATCTCATATTTTAAACATCCCAGTGTCTTGTCTCATGTATTTTCAATAAGCTTCCTTAGTAAAGTTTTCTTTCTGAAACCAAACTTTGTAAAAATAACACAAAATCAGGCATCAGTTGTTTCTATAGACTAAAACCACTCTGACACATGGTTTTACATAATTTTTGTGCATTTTTACTGTTACATATTTTCTAGTGCAGGGTGTCCAACTCAATTTCATTGAGGTCCGCATCAGGGGGTGGGGGGTGGGGTGCTGTGGGGTGGTCCATTTGCTCTGCCAGAGAAAACGGGTTCCTGAGCTACCTTTCCGGCTGTAACAGCCTCCTGCAACCCTCTACCACGCAGCACTCCCAAGCTCTGTTTTTGCTGGCAGAGGCACTGCAGGCCGGTTCTTCGCTATTTCCAGGGAGGCCCCGTGGGCCAGATCTAAATACCCCACAGGCCGGATCTGGCCCACAGGCTTTGAGTTTGATACCCCTGTTCTACTGCATTGTTTTAACTGTAAAATAATAAAAATAATGCTTTAAAATATTGCTATAAAAATTATTTATTTAATTCATCAAATTTCTAGACCGTCGAGTCTTCTGCATTGGTAGTAATAATGTCTACAATATAACAAAAAAATTAAAAACACTATTGGATTTAAATATAAATAATAATATAAATTAGTTGTCAATAGCTATTAGCACTAGTAAGTGATGTAGCCTGTTCATCTTTAAACAGAATAAATCTCTCCTTTAATCATGATAACATAATTTCCTCTTGAGTAGAATTACTTCATAAATGATTGATAAATGAAGTAATGCAAGCTAATTTCTCTGAAGCCTATTAAATGGAATAGAATGTTCTGGGAATGCAAAAAATGAAACAAATATAATAAAAGGTTCCTAAGTATAATTTACAGAATAGCAGATAAAACTAGGGTTTAAAATGTTAATGGATTTTATGGGTTTCCTATCTGCAATCAAATTTCTGGTTTCCTGGTGCAAGTATGTAGCATTTTAAAATAAAAGCAGATGTCCTAAAGATACTTAAATGAGAACAGGTTGGATGCTCTGCTGGCACAGTGATGCCACATGTTGCATTTGTTCTGAAACTGATATGCTAGAAATCACTGGAAGAATGGGCAGTAATGTGATTATCTTTTTTTAAAAAATGAAATATTCAGAAGTGTGGCATGAATTCAACATGAATAACAATTCTGAAGCAGAAAATACCACTGCCATACTAAAAAAAAAAAATCCCAATAAATCTTTTCGGTTTTAGCCAACTGTTTTTTTTTTCCCTCTGGTCTACCAATTATTTTCCAACTTAATGAGTGAGCATGTACTTTTGAATTTCTTTCAGAGAAGAAAATTTTAGAGAAATTCTCTTAAGTAGAATATGACATTTCTTTATGTTAGGCAAATGTGTGGAAGTAATATTATCTCTAAGCAATTCAAATGCCTCATTTTGTTCCTTGTACTATCTTTTCTTCAACCAAATGTAGCCTTGCTTTGTTTTCTACCCTTCAATTAAATCACACAGAAGACCTTATAAGGAAACTTCACCCCATGGGGCTTTTCAGATTAAGAAGTGTCGGCAGACATGGAGGCCGCAGAGTTAGTTGTGTAACTAACACTAGCAGCAATTCAGTAGCAGTTCCATCAGTAAAAGAGGCTCAAAAAAACCACCAGGAGAAATTGGAAAGAAATCCTCAAAGAAAAAAAACTTCCCTGAGAAAGAAGAACTAGATCACAGAAGCCTCTTTCCTGTTGGAAAGAAAGTGAAATATTGCAATTCAGATTTCAGCATAGCCTGGAAATTAAATTGGTTCCATTCTTTTAGCTTTGTTTCAGTTATTGTTCACCCCTTTGTTGCCAGTGCAAACATGCTTGCATTTATCTTACACAAAACATATGTTAAATAATGCTGCCTGTGAATCTGTTTCCTCTTACAGAAATTTAAGTAATAACAAGATCAAAGAGATCCGTGAAGGCACTTTTGATGGGGCAGCGGGAGTGCAGGAACTGATGTTGACAGGGAATCAGCTGGAATCTGTGCACGGACGAATGTTTAAAGGTCTCACAGGACTCAAGACACTGTATGTATAAAGTCTGTTTGCTCTTTTAGATGTGGAGGAGAGAGAAGCAAAGGAATACTGCCTGTTGTGAATGTACAGTAATAGATGTGATGTCAGGAAAATGATTGGGAATGACTAGGAAAGTATTACATATCATCAATTTTCCCAAATCAGTTGAATGGATTGTTGAAACTGTTGTAATTATTTCCTGGGTTGAATTTCTGACAGTCTTGAATATCACCTATTGGCACAAATGAAAGTACCTCTGTTTGTTTCCAGACTGCCCTTTTCTTCAGAAGTATTTAAAAAAAAAAAAAAAACTTGGATCAATTGTTCAATGCATTCAATAGATGCTGTGATTTTCAGTGGCCGACAAAAATGGGGAGAAAAAAGAAAGTAAAAAATGAACAAAACCAAACATAAAGCATATCGTTAACACAAAGATTGTATATTAAGTATAGTTCATGTTCATATATGAATTGGGAATGTCTAGCTAAACTTGCTGATGTTGAAAAGCAAAGCAGACTTAGTTCTATTTCCTTGGAAAAGAGATCACCAGAAATCATAGGGCTGAAGGATAGATTGGGAAGTCAAAATACATTCCACAAAACAGCAGTGGATGATCGCTTCCATATTGCTATGTAATAGTGCACAGGAAAGATTTTCTTCTGCAGATTCATTAAACTATGTAGGATAGGTTGAGAAAAACTTAAAGGAAGGGTTCATGTTTAATTACTCTCAATTTAATAATTTCAGAATTATTCTTGAATCCTACCTTATATTTGAGTGAAAATAGAAGTCCTCCATGTATTTCCAAATCAACCTATTTTACTTTGTCCAAGAGATCTGGATAGCTGGCCAATTCTTAAGCAGCCCATGCTTCTTTTGATCACCTTTTTTCACAAAATAATTCCCTTTTTGTGTTTTTCCCTGCTCCCTCTGTAACATAAATTCAGTAACTCTAATTTTATCTTTGAATCTTTTCAGGATGCTCAGGAACAACATGATCAGTTGTGTAAACAATGACACATTTACAGGACTGAGCTCAGTAAGGTTACTCTCGCTGTATGACAATCGCATTACTACCATAACTCCAGGAGCCTTCAGTACGCTTGTTTCTTTATCTACAATGTAAGTCAGCTGTTATCACTTAAGATATTGCATTTACTTTACTGTCACTGCTTTCATTTAATTATGTGAACCTCCCCAAAAATTGGAATAATCCTGGAGAATATTCCAGAGCTTCATGCTTGTTGCCTTAATAATTTTCAAAGTAAAGGGAGATTTTAACTGGTAATTAGTATTCTTGTTCTCATGTTGCAGCTACGAGGCCTAATAGGGAGAAGAAGTGTTTAAAACTCTGTGAGAAGCGGTGTTTCTCACACTTGGCAACTTTGAAATGTGTGGACTTCCAACTCTCAGAAATCCCTAGCCAACATGAATTCTGGGAATTGAACTCCACACATCTTAAAGTTGTCAAATTTGAAAACCTATGCCAATGGAGATTTTTAGTCATTCAGGTCAAAGGTGAAAAAGCACCTTTGGAACATTTGTTTTAAAGGGTATCCTAGAAGAGACAATGTCTAAACTGGATGAGATGGTGAAAGCTTCATAGTTCAAGTATTATTAATTATTAGAGCTGTTGCATTTTGGGGTGGATAGTCTCTTGGAATTAAGATTAAGGATCCTGGTTTATAAAATGATGAATAAATGCCCTCATTTCTATTTGTGAAGATTTCTTTTTCAAATATATCCAAAAAGGTATTTGTTTTATTTTATTCTGGTTTGTATGGTTTGGTTTGGTTTGGTTTGGTTTGGTTTGGTTTGGTTTATTAATTTATTTTATTTGACATTCCATCTTACAACAGGGTAGTTCTGCGAGGCTCACAGTTACATATGTAGTTAAAACATAAGAATACATTAAAACCAAGGACACATGGAGAAGGGGAGGAGGTGGGATCTGTTATTACTCAATCAAACACCTCCATTGCGCTGTTTTCCAACTGGGGCTCCAAGCCAACTGGCACAGCCACATCTTTAGGCCCTTACGAAAAGATAGGATTGGGGCCAACCTTACATTGGGTGACAAGATGTTCCAGAAGGCAGGCACAACAGCAGAGAAGGCCCTACTCCTAGATCACATCAGCTGGAATAATCAGGCTGATGGGACCTGAAGCATGCCTCCTTTGCTGGCACAAGGTGTATGGGCCACCCAGTGCGGTGAAATGGTCCTTCAAGTAACCTATGATCATCACCCTGTTCAGCATTCCCGCTTTCCCCTAACAAATATAATGGGAATTACTGTTACAATCCAGCAGGTGCTTATGCTAGTGGCTAGTGTATTGTAAGCCTATTGTAAGAGCTCTGCGCTTGCTCCTTGGTGTGGCTGAAAAAAGAGATATTCACTGAGGCCTGATCCTTGATAGATTGAGCAAAATTGTTTTATGGGACAAATCAGTTTTCCTGGCTCACAGCAATAGTATAAATGTTCCATTACAAGCATCATTTGAATTTTAATTTCATGACTCAGATCCTTCAGGCCTTTTACTAATCTCTCTACCACAGATCCAATGGCTTTTGTTCTGGTTTACTTTTTCTGTGTGTATTAAGAGTCTTTGAAGTGTTCTATTTGTATGCCTTATCATTATTTACTTTAATTGCCACTTAAGTATTCTCACATTTCTTTCCAATTTTTAACTTGGCAAAACCTGTATTTATTTTCCCTGCCCTTCTAGACTTTTAAAGTTACTCCCTTCATTTGGTTTTTAGACAGACCTTGTATCCTATGCCACAATCATTAAAAACAGCTAAGTAATTACAATCCCAACAATGACAATTGCAGAAGGAAGAATAGACACCTTTAATATTTTTTCCTGGTTTGGTTAGACTAAAGCAAAGTGGATAGTGATGGTTTGGTTTTGAGATATCCATGGCATTTTGTTCATGTCAAACAATGTGCAAATATGTGTGCGTGTGTGCTTTATACCATACATATGAAGAGTCACTGAAAATTGTAGTGTGAACATGAATAATGTTAGGTTTCTTTTTTTTCAAATTTAATCACAGATATAAATGCAAGTATGCCATTTATACCAAAGAATTGTCATCTGAGCTGGATTGCAATAGTTAACCTTTGTTTTGGGAGGGAGAGGATTCCTTTTACCTCAAACATAATTACAATTAATTAGCTACTTCATTTCTTTACGTCTCGTGATATTTCCGTGACTATTATGAGAGAAACTCTTGATCTACGTGCTTAGATACAGCAAGATATTTTTTAAAAAATAATGCTACATCTTTGAGTTTTGCACAATAAAATGAATTGTTGTCTGTTCCTTTAAATCATATTGGCTGTTAGGTATTCCAGTAGCACAAAGATCAATAATTTTGCTCTGAAAAGTGGTTTAGCTTTGCCTTAATATCAATAAATTTCAATAACTATTTATTTATATGCAGCCCAAATTCCCAACTCATCTTTAGCTATTATTTTAACTGAAGTTATCTGTTTGAGGCTATGGAGCAAATTGACTAAAATATATCATGTCATACGCGTCATCTCCTTTTAGTTCATATTTCAGAATTGCTATATGCATTTCAAAATAACCAACTGAACTGCACATTACTTTAAAAATGTTATGAACAGCCCTTCCTTCCTTCCTTCCTTCCTTCCTTCCTTCCTTCCTTCCTTCCTTCCTTCCTTCCTTCCTTCCAGAGGTAAGGAACCTATGACTTTCCTGATGACAACTTAGAACTACGCTGACTTCAATCTGACCTAAGCATAGTACATAAAATTATCTGCCACAGTGTACTTCCTGTCAATGACTACTTCAGCTTCAATCACAACAATACACAAGCAAATAATAGATACAAACTCAAAGTAAACCGTTCCAAACTCAATTGCAGAAAATATGACTTCAGTAACAGAGTGGTCAATGCCTGGAATGCACTACCTGACTCTGTAGTTTATTCCCCAAACCCCAAAAACTTTAACCTTAAACTGTCTATTGTTGACCTCACCCCATTCCTAAGAGTCTGTAAGAGGCGTGCATAAGTGCACCAGCGTGCCTACAGTCCCTGTCCTAATATTCCTTTTTATTTACTCTTTTCATGTATTCAAATTATGTTTATACTTTTATACTTACGTTGCTGAATTACAGCTCCCAGCATTCCTCTGCACTGGTCCTGTTCTTGTGACTGTTCAAAATTGTAATTTAGCAACACCTGAAGGGCATTGATTTCTAATCCACTTTAGACTATTGTTGTTTGTCATAAAGAGACACTTGTGGTTATTGAAAAAAAAATCTCTTTAAAAAGATATGGCATTCACATATCAGATTGTATTCTTTGGAGCTTCTGAGATTGATCAGGCTGTCTTCATATGATGCAGAGGCAGAAACACAAAGCAAGAGCTTCTGTTTACAAGATTATTTAGCAACAGCTAACTATTTCCATTTTAAAATATATTACAGATTGAGCTAGTACATGATAAAAAACCTAATGACAACAGAATTTGTTAGCCGGGCAGATTTTTCTTTTTTATGTCTTGTTTTGAGAGAAAAAAACAAAAACAAAAAACCATGTTAGGCATGTAGCTACCATTGTAAAATTAATTTATTACCAGAGGTTTCCTACTTGAATGTCAATTAGCTTTTGAAAAATCTATGTCTTGATTTCTTCAATAGCCGACTGCATTTTTTTTCCTCATTTTTCGTCTAGTAATTTGCTATCTAATCCATTTAACTGCAACTGCCACTTAGCATGGTTGGGGAAATGGTTAAGGAAGAGAAGGATTGTCAGTGGAAATCCACGTTGCCAGAAACCCTTCTTCTTAAAGGAGATTCCAGTTCAAGATGTTGCTACGCAGGATTTCACATGTGATGGTAAGCACATTTCTAGAACATGATAATGAGATCATATTAGATCTTTCAATAGTATAAGTATGATATTTCAGACAAATATGAATGCACATACTCAGAGATGAAGCTTTTCTCCACATATAGATTAAAAGAAATTGTTTTCTCCTATAGGTCTCAGCAAGGAAAAATAGCCAGAGTATACTAGGAAGCAGGGATTTAAGTGAGTTCTCTACTTGACATTATCAGGAAGTCTAAGAATTTGGGGAATTATATTAACCATTGGCCTGCATTCAAAATCTCATTCTTGGGGAATAACCAGAGTGATTCCTTGAGTCCTATTTGGAGAAGGGCGGTATAGAAATTTAATTAATAATAAATTAATTAATTAATTGATTTGTCCATCAAGATATTCTAAGCGACCATATCAAGAAATCTTCTCCAGTCTTTCCCCAAATAGGCCTTTTAGGTCTTTCAGTATTGCACTCCTTATTGCTATAATTGAATCCACCCACTTCACTACTCATCTCTTTTTCTTATATTTCCCAGCAATTTAGACTTTGCTAAAGAGCTACTATAGGTTTTAAATACATGTGTCCAAAATTGGTTAATCTTGACATGATTGACACAATTGGAGATCTTTATATAATCACTGATTATATCAATTTACCTTGACTTATTTTTGGTATTCTTTTCTCAGATACTCAGTGTGCATTGCCAATCTCTTTTTCTTCAGCTTCTTTTAGCAATAGCACTTAGGCTTATATACCGCTTCATAGTGCTTTTACAGCCCTCTCTAAGCGGTTTTCCAGAGTCAGCATATTGCCCCCAACAATCTGAGTCTTCATTTTACCCACCTCAGAAGGATGGAAGGCTGAGTCAATCTTGAGCCGGTGAGATTTGAACTACTGAACTGCAGCTAGCAGTCAGCTGAAGTTGCCTGTAGTACTGCACTCTAACCATTGCACTACCTTGACTCATATTTTAGCAGTATCTACCTTGGCTCATGTTAGCAGTATCTTTCTATGTAGGGATTCTAATCTACATTGGATTACCCTAAGCATTATTTTAATATTGAGGATGTTGTACAGTAGTTTTCACATTCTTTTAAACCTTTCTTTGGAATTGGCATTAGGACGATCTCTTTCAATCTGTTGGCTGCTGTATTGTTCTTTAGATTTTCTGGCATAGTTTAGTTAGAACCTGTACTAATTCTTCTTCTCTTGCTTACTGTACTTTTGTACAGATTTCATCATGCCTGTAGCCTTCCAGCTTGGTCATAAAGTGAGAGTTAATCTAACTCCATTTTCTAGTGAAAAGCCTTAACATTTTTGAAATGAAAAAATTGAAACCAACATTCCAAACTCCTGCACATAAGAGTGCAAAACACAGACTTTGTTTCTACAGTATGATTTGGCTGTTGTTTATTTTAATTACTTTTCTAATGGAAATTGGAACTTTTGCCAGCATAATAAAAGACTATAGTCTGTTCATTTTATTAGACCCAGTCAAGCATTGAAGTCATTGTTCAAAACTGAAGCCAATGACCTTATAACATTGCGAGTCCTGTTCAGTTGAAACAATGAAAATAATTTTGAGAATAATCACCAAATGGCAGGTAGATAATTCTCTGGCTTGTGAAACATTAAGTTTTTTTTTTTTTTTATTGGCTGCCTTTAAAGATTATTCTACAAATTTTTTCTAGGCATGTTTAGATACCACCATTTGCCTGTATCTAGTGCTTTGTGAACCCACATGCTAATTTTGGAAGAAATCCATGACTTAATAGTCTTAACTGAAAGGCTTACTTTCATAGCAGGAACTCTCTTGCTCTCCAACTGTGAGGTTTAATTTGTTTTATAAAATCTGCTTTGTACAAATGAACACCCATGTTTCAGCTATTAGGTATTTTTATGCACATGCACGTGGATCTCCAGTTCCTGGTGAAAGCATAGCTGATCTTGTTGCTTGATGCTCATTATGCTTGTTAAAAACAACAAGACTCATGATTTAAAAAATTAAGGAACGCATCGTATTAATATTGAAAGTCTGGCATGTTGAATAAATTGTTCACCATGTCAGGAAACAAATGGATGTTTTTCAGAGGTTTTTTTTTTTTAGAGGATAAACATGGCAAATGTTTTAAAATAATTCAGATCTGTACATTAGTCAGTAAACTACAGCACCAAGTAAATGATCTATCATAAATGCATTTTCTCTTTGGTCAGCTTAAATATAGTATTTTTTTTCCAACATAGTCAAATATAGTATTTTGCTATCAGTTGCAGGATGACAGCGATTGTGCCTATGATTTCATGGGTGGAAGTAAATAAATATTGAAAATTAAAATGACCCAAACCCCAAATTGATCTCATGCAGGAACACAAAATATTTTATTTTTAAAGACTTTAAAGATTTAATTTAAAAATATTGTTGTTTTTTAATGCAAATTTAGAGGGATTCAGTGGGTGCAATTTTGGGAGGCTCATGGTCACCTATCTGCTGATTTAACTTTTGAGGGGTAAATCAATTATCCTTAGCAATAATATAAATGAAACAGCAATACAAAGAGTTTATGCTGGTTTATGAAGCAGAGCTCATATGGTTGGATCATTTAGTTAATTTTATTTTCATATAGAGACCCAGTTTGATGTAGTAATTAAGGGAAAAGGCTAGAAACCAAGAGACTGTGAGTTCTAGTCCTGCCTTTAGTCTCTGAGAATCAGACACAATTGAAAAGAAGAAGAAAAAATAGTCATTTTTTTTTCCTCATGGAAACAATTTTTATTTCCTAAAGGCCTTGGTCTGTCTCCCTACCCATCTATATAAGCACACAGACAAACCCAAGTTTACTCCAAATTAAAATGTTTATAACTAAATACATATTATCAGTATTGACACTGGAATTAGAACAATCTAAAGCAAAGGACAATAATGTAGCGTGTTAATGATGATTTGTAGATAGTGGTTGTACTAGATTTACATGAGAGCTAATGCGTTAGAAATGAATTTTCTCAATTTTATCCCATCTGTATTTATTAACATTATTTCCTTCTACTTTCTCTACTTTTGTGTAGGCAACACTGAAAACAGCTGTCATTTTTCTCCCCGTTGTCCAGACCAATGCACCTGTGTGGACTCTGTAGTTCGCTGCAGTAATAAAGGGTTGCAGCTCCTCCCAAAAGGGGTCCCCAAAGATGTGACTGAGCTGTAAGTCATGTTGTCACAACATGTAAAATTGTATGTAAGAAGAATTGTAAGAAGTGATCAGTTTCAATTACTAGTTTACAAAAAATGTTTTTCTTTCAAATCAGAATACTGAAGCGCACCATTTTAAACCAAATGCAAACTAATAGCAGGACTAAGTCAGTGCCTGAAGCAATGACATAGGTTAACATATAGAGATTCTGTTGCCTCAATCTGTTTCTACAGAGATATTGCACCCTAGTAGAGAGATAGTAGCAATTTATGCAAAATTCTAATCTATATAGTTCAAAAAATAAGTCATAAAAATGGAAGAGGAAATTTATAGGACAAAAATTTAATTTAATTAATTTAATTTAATTTAATTAATCATATTTCTATGCTAGCCATCTCCCAAGGGACTCTGGGACCCAACACCCAAACCCAATGATAAACAAACAGAATGAGTTTCCCCAGAACATCATTTTTATTATATATAAAATTGTATTAATAATACAATCACAAGCAGTTTATAAATTTCTACAATAGGATCATGGTTAAAATACTGTTTGTAATTCTGATCACAGTATGGTAAAACAGTGAAAATGCAGAAAAGGACAAATAAAAAGATCAACAGGTAAAATTAACCCTCATTAGTGGGTTGGCTTTTTAGCTTATAAAAAAAAAGATTAAATTTGTGGGGAAGAGAATATGATAGAAGACATGAATGTTTTTTTTTTTCTTTCAAAAGATTAAACCACATGGTCATCTAACAAAATGAATGGTTGATCAAAAATCCTATTCACACTGTGGAAGAGTTAATTTCTGGATTTACAACCATATGTGACAATGGTGACAACAGGAATAGATTTGAAAGGGGATTATGCAGATTTAAGGTTGATAAGGCTCTTGATGGTTACCATTGTATTTGTCTGGGGGTTATGTGTCTGTGACTAAGGAATAATGGTAGTACATTTATAACTATCAACTAGAAACATGAGTGAGAATAAACTCCTGTTTGTGGGTTTTCCACTGGCATCTAGTTGGAATAGAAAGCTGAAGTAGATTGTGCTTTGATCTGATCCACCAGCCTTTACAATTTTCAGTTCCTTTCAGTCACTGAAGGATGGATTATTTGATTGCAATCTAGGAAAACCGATATGAATGTAAAATATATGTGCAAAACAGTGACACTTTTTACTTTCATGGAATAGTTAAAAGGGGCTAATATAATAGATATTCATCAGATTAAATTGTGAATTATATGTGCAACAGGAAGGGATGGCTTCTCATTTGCTTCTAATGTTATTTTTTATACAAAGAAAATACAAAATAAATTTGATTGGGCTATCAAATCTGGGTTTCATTAACTTTGCAACCCATTAATGGAAACAAAGACATGTAAATAGGATAAATTCTTTGCTGGAGAATGCTGTTTGCCCCAGCACCAACTTTATATTAGCTAAATGCTAATATGTGGTTATATGTTTGGATTTTTTCTAAGCTCTATGTAAAGCTGGCAATAAGAGTTGGAATTTGTCACATCTAGCTTTATCATGTAATTGTAGTATAGAACATTATAATATTTTGAAAATGGGGCTCTGATATTCAACATATGAAACTGTAATTGATTTTCACAGTTAAATGTGTGTATATTGAATGGTATTTCATCTATAGTCTATATAATTTGTGTGTGTGTGCTTTGGGGGAGATGCTTCTTTAATTTCGTTCCAAGGACTATCAGAGTTACAGCAGCCATCTCAAATTAGTTTTTTTTCTCATTAATAAAATAAAAGGAAAAATAAAACAGCGCCACTATTCCTTTCTCCATTGAAGAAATTGGATTTCCCATATTAGATTAATTGGTAGACAGGAACAAAATGCCTTATAATAGCCTGAAATGTTTCCTCAAGAAAAAATAATATACTGTACAAAAACAGTAATATGGAAGGTCCTTATGCCAATTCATTATTGTATTTTAAGACCACTTAATAAAGTTCCTTTGATAAATTACCAAAATGCTAAATGCAAAGAATGCCAATTACAGTTAAACTAACTGTAATTTATTTATAATTGTCAGTTTGCTTCTTCATTTTTTTCCCTTGCCTCCCCTTGGTAACTTTGGTCTTCACAGATTTTGGTAAATGTTTTTCCTGTTTAAAAATCTATGTATCAAACAATGTTCAGGATCTTTTAAAGCCTACTAAAGCTCTGTGGTACCTCCCTCCATCTCCATCTTCAATTTACAAATATGTGAATTAGAGTAACCTTATTCCTCAATTACACAATAACATTTATCTCTGTGATACTCTTCTTGTAAGTAGTATTTTAGATTGCACCCAAGCATGATGAATGGGTGTGGTTATCAAGTTATAAATCATGGTTATAAGTCAAAAGCCAAAAGAAATGTGAAAAGCAGTATTTCTGGTTAAATAAATGTGAATGTATAAACATGCAAAGATAATAGACTGTAATCTGTGGCTGATTGATCCTGGCAGATTTCAATAATAAGGGAATCTGCTAGTTAGGAAATCAATTGCTTTGGTTTAATCATCATTTTTGGAGTGTAGATAAGCAAAAATCCAAAACCAGTAGTGTGTTTCATGCTAGTTTGTTGTTCCTGCTGTTGTTCTTTTTGGAACCTAAATGTTGAAAACTATCATTTATTTTTTATTTATTTTATTTATTTATTTGTCAAGAATGTATTAGGTAATATATATAAATATAAGCATGGATTGGATACATAAAATAGATACAAATAGATGAAGCATTAGGACAGGGACAGTAGGCAAGCTGGTGCTCTTATGCATGTCCCTTACAGACCTCTTAGGAATGGGGTGAGGTCAACAGTAGACAGTCTTAGGTTAAAATTTGGGGGGTTTGGAGATGAAACCACAGAGTCGGATAGTGCATTCCAGGAATTGACCACTCTGTTGGTGAAGTCATATTTTCTGCAATCGAGTTTGGAGCGGTTCACTTTAAGTTTGTATCTATTGTGTGCTCGTGTATTGTTGTGGTTGAAGCTGAAGTAGTCATTGACAGGTAGGACATTGTAGCAGATAATTTTATGAGCTACACTTAGGTCATACCGAAGGCGGTGTAGTTCTAAGTTTCCTAAGGCCAGAATTTCAAGTCTATCATATCCTTATGTTAATGAATGCTGTTAAGAAAATGAAGCAATATTGTAATATCCTCAAGAGTTAATTCAGGGAGACAAGTACAGTTAAATATTCATGGAGCATCACAGTCTTCAGAATATGAGCTTAGATCCTACCCTCCCCATTAACTTTTCCCAGATCTATTCTGGTATTCCTAAAAGAGTCAAGAGCGGGTGATTTTGACATCTGGTGTTGTTTTGTTCTCTGTCATCCATAGAACCTTTAATTTGTAAAGAAATTTGAGTGCCTGGCTTTTTGTTGCTATTACACTGAGCATTGATGTTCTGTTGCTTTACTTATTTGATCAGTCAGATATGAGTGTATCTGATGGTGTCTATTTACAAATGAACCAGTCTGAAATGATTTTTTTTTTTGCTCCGCCCCACCCCCACCACCCCACTACGGCATTGCAATTAGTGATTGATTGGTTGCAGGACTTGCTAGAGAAGATTTGGGAGCACTGAACTTACAGGTTGTAGAGCAAGAAGGTCTGTTGCATGAGTAGTGTTTGATGATTCCTAAAGATGGAAGCCCAAAATCAGAACCCTACTGTACATTTCAGGTGCATTTTCTTTTTTTTTTTTCCATAGCAAAAGTTGTGCATAGAACCAATACGTTCAAACTTTTTTCTTTAACATGCAATTTGTTTCATTGATTCATGCATATATTACACATAACACTCAGTATTTATTTCTGCATTGGAACACTTCTGTTTCAATACCACGATGATTAATTTATTAAGAAACTAACTTTTGTCTGTTTTTCTTGGTGCTGTCAACTGCAGCACCTTTGCTTGGCACTGCAGATCACCATGATCTTATAATAATGTCCTTGTAATATAATTGTCCTTTTGCTAATTTCTGAGAACAGCCTACATTTAGGAGTCATGAAAAGCGATGGAATTTTTCAAAAATTCCAGATTCAAAATGGTGTAGCAATTAATACTGCTGAAATTGACAATTTTTTTTGATTCTGTATAATCAGATGTAACTATTTTTGTGTTTGCTTACAGTTATCAAAGAGTGGCTGTCAGGAAAACAGTATTAAATTGAGATGATTCATAACTATGTGTTTCATTTTGCAGCACAAGTTTGTTGTCATACTGATATTTTAAATGAATACAGGGTATGTCCAAAGATAATGCAAGTACTGATGTGACTGAGATGCTCCAACCTTCACTGATGTTTCTGGCAGCTTGCTTTAAAGGCATCTCTGTCCAGAATAATGCATCCATGTGTCATTTGTGTACATGTGTCATTTGTGTACATATTCTAAATAGAGTTGTGATTTCCAAGTAATACTCAAACCAAATCTTGCCAACAAGGCAAAATGAAGGACTATGTGTGCTTCGTTCCACAAATGCCACTTCTATATTTACTGTAATATACAATTCTTGAAGTAACAATAACAGAGTGGGAAGGGACCTTGGAGGTCATCTAATCCAACCAACCCTGCTCACACAAGAGACCTATACAAGGGATTCGAAACACTGACCTTTCTGATTGTTAAGCTCAGCGTTTTAGTCACTGAGCCACTTAGGGAGCCGCCATTCTGATCTCTTCTACTCTTATTTGTCATAGTAACCCTTGAGATGCTCAGAGGATGATATTTGAAAGATTTCCTTGTGCATCTTATGTGTCTTTCTCCCTAACTGATTTGTTCTGTTATCTGGTAAAATTCTAGTAATAAAAGGAAGGATTTCTTTAGTAGCATTTTAATTAATGTTATGGAACCTTATATTTATAAATTCCAATTTTCAATGGGAAAATTACACACGTTGTGTAATAAAAATATCCAGATAAAATGCTTTTTATTAAACCATAACTGTCCACCTTTATAGATTTCATTTTAATTGAAAACAAAACCTGC